ATTATTAGTTTTCACAGTTTAAATAATGTCCCTTTTTTTCTAAACTGCATTTTAATGTTAAAGTCAGAGATTATGGTGACATTTTGAAAGACATGAAAAGGATTATTTTTAATTTTCTTTACTTTGAGTTTGTTTTAATGCCTGTTAGTGAAAATATAACAAACTCAAAGTGATAAATAATTTAATAAAACCAGAGTAAACTGTTAAAGAATGGAGCAGTTATAATAAATTACCAGCATCCTGTCTGTTTAATCCAAACTGATGTTGAACAGAAACTGGAGGTCGTTCAGACAGAAAACCCAGCAGCTGAGTGTCGACTCTGAAATATTCAGGCTCACAGTCCGGTTCAGTCCGGTCAGCACAGCGTCTTTTTCTGCTCTTATTGTGAAAAACTCTGCTGCTGTTCCTCTGAGCTTTTATTTCCTCCAASAAAAACAGACAGGAGCATCTGTGACACAGTTTCCCTCACTCTGGATGTTTAAACTGCAGCCTGCTGGGAAAACAGCCTCGTTTATTCAGCTTCCACATTCCAGCCTCCTCCGCAGCGTAAAACCAGGTCAGAGGAAATAAATAAACTGTGATGTCATCAAAACGAGACGAGACAGAGTCTGAACATCCACGTCTGACAAAATGTGAAGTATAAAAAAAGAGAAAAACCTCTTCAAGCTGTAAATATGAACGTCTCCAACATGAACGGTTCCAACCTCAGAACGCTAACAGCTGCTGAGCACGGAGGTGGAAGCGTCATGCTGAGTGATGGAGACCCAGAGACCGCCACAATAAGAGCCCCGAGTCCTCACCTGCCACACGGACCACGGCCCGCTCCGCCGGGTCCAGCACCGAGTCCTGGCTCTTCCTCTTCCTCCTCTCGTGTTTGGACAGGTTCCAGGGCAGCGTGTCCCCCGGCGGTCCCACGAGTCCCGAYGTGCACGGAGACAACGAGCCGCCGGAGCGCTCGCTGCGAAAAGACGGCTCGCTGACGCAGGAGCGCTCGCTCAGGGTGTCGTCRTCCGACGACTCCATGTCACCTCCTGCAGGAGGAGAGGAGGAGACGCTCAGGTCGTCTGGTTACACATGAAATGATGAAAGTTTGTTATGAAGAGAATCCACCRTTAACRAAACAAAAACAAAAACAAGGTCAGGACAGAAAGTCATCAGCGTTAAGCTCAGAGGAGTACGGCTGCTTCTCTGATCAGGTGAAAAAGTTCTGGATTCTGTCCTCCACAGTCTGCAGCTCATCCCTCCATCAGGTCTGACATCAGCTCAGCTGACGGAGGTGGAAAATGTCCTCCTGGACTCTGGAGACCTGATGCTCAGATCTGTCCATCAGCAGATCGATAAACTGAGCCGACCGAGTCGACTAAATGTTTCCAAAGACCCGAGTCCATCATTCTGACACCAAATCAAACTTTACTTTCTTTCTTTTTGCAGAGTTTCATCCTTCAAAATAAAAGCCCCATCATTGACTGAACAGCGGGGTTAAAAACAAACAGTTTAATCCTTAAAAAGACAAAGTCCTGGTCCTGCCCAGCAGACCGGACTCTGTTCCTGTCAGATTCCATGGAACCGGGTCGTGGACTGGTCTGATGTTWCTGTTCTGATCTGTAAACCAAACCCAGCAGCTGTGTTTTCCTCCTGAGCTCCTGCTGGTCCTGAAGTTAACCCCCCGCTTCCTGACCCCCCCGTGTCCCCATCAGCGCTGGCAGGAGGAGGGTAAAGCCTTCCCAGAATTCCCTGCGGTTCTGTGGCGTGTGCCTGCCGCCCCGCTGCTCGCTGACACTGAGTCAGTGGCTCTGAAACCAAAACGATTTATAAATAGAGTCAGAACGGAGGCTTCAGAGCCACACCGTGTTATTAACGTGAGGGGAGAAACCAGAACCAGCAGCTGTGACATCACTTCCTGTCTGCCTGCAGTGTGGCTCCTTCATGTGTTGGACTGAGAACCAGAGGAAACAAACTTTTACTAAAAACAAAGTAAAATAAGAAGTTTGTGACGTCAGAACAGTTTAATTTATCTGATGTATAAAGTCTGAAACTCAGAATACAAGATTATAAACTTAACATATGACATCATCCATCATTCAACCATCATCCAACCATCATCCATTCATCCATACATTATCCAACCATCATCCATCCATTCATCCATCATCCAACCAACCATCATCCAACCATCCATCATCCATCCATTCATCCATCATCCAACCTTCATCCAACCATCCATCATCCAAGCATCATCCAACCATCATCCATCCATCCATCCATCCATCATCCCATCATCCATCCATTATCCAACCATCATCCATCAATTCATCATCCATCATCCCTCATACATCCATCATCCAACCATCATCCATCATCTATCACGTCATCATCCATCATCCCTCATGCATCCATCATACATCCATCATCCATCATCTATCACGTCATCATCAATCATCCCTCATACATCCATCATACATCCATTCATCCATCATCCAACCATCATCCAACCATCATCTAACCATCATCCAACCATCATCCATCATCTATCATCCCTCAAACATCCATCATACATCCGTCCATCCTAGCGTCAGGTCTCAGTCATGGTCAGCAGCTGGATCAATGGGTCCAGACCTCTCCACCTCTTCCAGCCCTTCTGGGAGGACTCTAAGGTGTCCCCAGACCAGCTCAGACAGTCTGTTCATCATGTCCAGGGTCTCCTCTGGGGTCTCCTCTCAGTTGGACATGTCCAGAACACCTTCYTAGGGAGGTGTCTGTACCAGACAAACCACCTGGTTCCCCTTGATGTGGAGGAGCAGCAGTTACACACATAATTTCACAGTGTTGGTCCAAGACCCCCGCTGTGAGACCTGGATTCAAAAACCTTTAGTGACAGAAAACGAGCGCAGTACACAAGCAGCTGAAATGTTAAAGTTTAAATTACACAGCATCGTGTCTCAGGGTCTCACTATAAACATGCTCTGATTGCCATCCGCTGCAGGTAAGATKCTGACTACTCATAACGCCACCAAACCACCTCTTGCAGCTGATTCACGCTCACTGCTTGAATCAGGGTCCGGTGTTCTACTGCTCGGCCGATCCAGCCAATCAGCAGCAGGAATGTTGCTGTGAAAAGACGAGGGGTCTCGTCTCTGCTCCTCGTGTTCGTCTGTTTTTCTTTTGTGTTTTTCTCACTCTGCTGCTTCTGTGACGCCTCGGCCTCGGAGGCCATCTGTTTAGATTTGTCTGCAGACTCACTCGTTCAGCACATAAACTGTGGGAGCGGGTCCAGTCCGGCATAGACGGACTGAGTCAGAGGAATAAACCGTATGTGGGTCGGTTCTGCGGAACTCTGAGGAGACTGACAGGAAGCTGGGTCAACAAGAACAGCTAATCTGTCGTCTGGTTTGTCCGATTAACTCAAAAGTTAATGTTTGAGTCAGWTCAGAACCAACTTCCTGATGTAAACTGAAGAAATAAACATCTGCTCAGAGACCTCCTGCAGCTGAAACAACTCCCAGCATCCCTCAGCTCAGCCCGGGTCCACAACTGAAACTGTGCTGGTTCTGTACACAGTAAAAAAACAGAGTGTCATTTTAACACCTAGAGTTGAATTTAACTCTGTTTCATATAATATTTGGTCCAACTCMAAATTAGTGTAAAATGTGCTCTATTAGCCAGTGTCAACTTCTCAGAGTTCATTTATTCATTTTAGTGTCAAAATCAACAATAAATTGAGTAAAATTATTTAACACTATAGCTCGTTAACACTCTACAGCACTGTCTCCCAAAGTTGGGGTCGGGACCCAAAGTGGGGTCCCGAAACATCAAGGTGGGGTCCTGAAAAGATTTTTGGAATTAATTACATTTTTGTAGGCCTGTGTATTGACAAGAATTTGGCGATACGATACATATCATGACAGAGGGGTCACGATACGATATATCCCGATATATTGCGATACTATAAGCAAGGCGATATATTGGGATTTTTTTGTCCAAAAATGCTATTAAATAAAAACCTCTTACTGAAAAAAAAATGGAAAGCTAATATTTACTTACATGCTAATGCTCTCTTACTC